AAAAAGTGGTGTAGTGGGGACAACAGACGGCTTGTGTGTGATGTATTATTGGCATTTTTCTTTCAAATTACCGTTTTCTTGCTGCTTTGGGAGAAAGCCATGATTTTGCTGTGATTAGTACACTTTTAACAATCTGGAATAAATTCCTGATCTTATTCATATGACTAGTCCAATGCCCATTTTTACGTTTTAGTGCAACCCCCTACATATGTGCCTGTAATACCACAAAAATAAGATGTTTCTTTGCAGAAATTTTTATAGAATTTGGATGCTGATCAAATATTTTTAGAAGTGGAGAATTAATGCAGCTTGACCATGTAAATGATTTTTTTAATGAGAAAGACTTTAGCATTCATCACTCTTTCTCTCTCCGTTGTTTGTGTATTCCTTTGTGCTAATCTTAAATAATGGATCCATATCAAAGTTAATAAATTAGTAACTATCAGCAGTTTTGATTATAGTGAGTAACCCAGTGACACTATGTTGACATTGAGTTTTTATGTTTTTCAATACTACTGTTTGAGTTTTAATGATAAAATAAAGTAAAATACGTTTGGCAAACATTTTAATCCTTAACAACTCAGTTGTGGATAGTAGCTTTATTTAAATCCCAGGCTTCTGCTTTAAATATATTTTCCTTTAAATTGTCATCAAAAAAACAACAGACTTTGAGATCCATGGCTTTCCAAAAAGCTGCATTTTCTGACTCCATTCGGTTGAAGCACCATGTTGGGCTGCATCAGTCATGCCATGTTATGAAACCTAACACGATGTGACTGATGCAGGCTGACGTGATGTGTCACAAAGCAACATATCAGATCACAAACTTGAAAGAAAGAAAACAAACTTTTTTTTTTTTTCTCAAAGCCTAAATTAACAAAGCAGCATATTTTTTTAAAAAGGCGGACTGCTTTCAGACATTAAGGGAGTTTTCTATGTAATCATTCCACAAAGGGTTCTCTGTTCTGACCAGAAGACATGTTCCATTCTGGCTCCTGGTTCTGTCCAGGTACAGGTGAAATGAGGGGCAGCCCAAGTTCCCTCAGCACTGCTGTCCATGCTGGGCCTTATCCAGGAAGGTCTGGATCACTTCAGAGAACCAGCTTCAGCAGGAGCTGGAGTTAATCAACCCTCTTGGGGCAATCCGTACCACCTTAAAATGTTCCTGTTCTTTGAGTCCAGCCATTGCTGGTGTCAGCTTAACTATTTTGTCATTATTTTCTGTGGCTCAGTTTCCTTAGACTTTCAGCTTCAGTCCAAAGGATTACTCTTCACATGCTGTGGTCACGTACTTCATAGCATGTTACTCTACAACAGGATTATTTCAGCTGCAAGCAACACATTGTCCTCTATCTTCACTTTTTTATCTGAGAAAGATGCACCATAATTCGCTCCCGTTGTTGGCCTGCCTTCTGCCTTTTGTCTAATTATCCTTACTACAAATGCAATGCAATGCATTACACATTATCTCCTGAAATATCAGGAAGCTTTCTTGGTTTTTTTTGTTTTTTGGTTTTTTTTGGAGGGCTTTCATATAATTTTATTGGAAGATACGTAATGGGTAAAATATATATGAACTATAGCTTGCTAAGAAAGAACCTACCAAACACTGATAGATAAAACGTTATAAATTTATTGCCAACTTATCTGGAAAGGGTTATTTTAAGAGCCTTCTGCCCACAACAAGTTTTTGAGCTATAATTAATGGATGGGCTACCTAAGAGAAATGGGTATTTTCCTTCACCCCTTAGTTACAAGCAAATTGCAGATATTGTTATCTTTGCAAGTGAAAATAATCTCTAGTTTTTGTACTACTTCTGCTGTAAACAATGTACCGCTTGCTTTCCTATGACCCTCACTCTGTATACATATTTATATATTATTCATATCGGATTAAAAATGAATGTGCTCTTTACCACAGTTGTACTGCATAGTGACAATACAAATTAACTTATTGTGTACTTACTTTTCACAAGGCAGGGATGTGAAATTTTGATGGCCTGAAAAAGTAAGTTGTGGGGGAGGTGATGCAGAACGGAATCCTAGAAAGGTGTGTTTTATGTTGTCTGATTTATTAAAGTTCATTGAATTAATAAATGACATTCTCCATACAGAACTGCACAGGCTTGAATTTGGTTTGGGGGTGGGCAGAAAGGGTTTGCTTTTATTCTGGCACATATAAGGTTGTTAGCTCCATCAAATGCTTGTGGATTCTTTGTTTAAAATTTGTGGGGGATAGTTAGGAATGTGTTGGCCATTTAATGGTAGCTACTTATGGCCAAAGCACCAAGAGCTGCTTGGTGAGATCTCGTGCTGCTAGCGAGCACTACTCATTCTAGCTGGAAGAGTCCAAATCTTTCCATGCTACATGGTGCCCAAGGCATTCATAGTGCGGGTACTGAGCACGTTGTACCTGTGGCCTTGTGTGCATGCTCTCTGCATGCTGCTGATCGGAGCAGTGATCGAGGACATATATCTTCGTTGGTACACCCAGCATATAAGATAGTCCAAATGCCAGGATATCTTTTGCTTTTTGCATAGCATTGGTAGGAATGAAGTAAACAAGACCCAAGTGCACGTTGTGCCATTGGTCACAACTTAACAGCTTATCTGCTCTTAGCAAGGGGAGCAGTCATCAGATGGTCAAATGAAACAAGAAATACTGGAATGGAGCTGGTGCTGTTGGTGTGGATGCAGAAGTGTAGGGGTGAATGTGATGGTGGCAGACAGAAAGGAAAAAAAACACTTCAGTACTTCACAGAGCATGTCTTCTTCCGTTTAACACAACATTTCATCCACTTTGTCCCAGGTGTTTCTGCCTGGGCAGAGGCTTTATCCAAGAGGAAGAAAAAGGAAGAGGAATTAAAGAATCTGGAACTGAGTTCTGAATTCTAGTGACTGTTTCAATTTCTGACAGTCAAAGGAGTAAATGTGATGATTTTGTTTTATTTTATTTTCTGAGTTTTCAACTATTTCTAGATTATCTGAAATCAGATTTTCTCTGGACCTTCTTCACATTCAGACAGTTTTGAGAGTACTTCCAGCTTTCAAAACTATTACGTTCTAAATTTTTCAAGCATTTTGTGGTTCTGTATTGATTTTAGGACTGATTCTAAAAGGCACTAGGGACGCCTTCAATCTCATTTGACTATTTCCTCATATCTTCCAGTTGATTTTTTTTTTCTATAAAAGCCAAATCCATTTTCTGTAACATTATCTATGTAGAGGCTTGTTGTTGTTGTTTTTCTTTTTTTCCATTGCTACAAAGTTTCCCACTGAAATTTAGCATTGTAAAGATCAGCAACTTGCAGATTTTGTTATTTTTATTCTTATGAATTTGTTGAGGGAAATGCCTTTATTTACTCCAGGAGAAAACCAACTCCATCCCCAGATTTACGCATAAATGTACAAGTTGCATGTCCTATGTCCTGAGGGGTGATCACCCTTTTGGCAGTCTTCAATTTGTAAAAGCAAAGGGTGGAGAGGATGCCTTTTGTCCTCAAAAAAGGAAATTTGATTGTAGTCCTGAGGCATAGGGCTTTTCTAACTGTGTAATGGACTTGATGCTTCTTTCCTCTGAGAAGCAGGCAGTGTGTTTTCGAGGACTCGGCCGTCAAGTGATGGTTTTGCTATGTGATAAAAGTAGCAGGTTATTTGAGCAACACAAATAGTGCAAGTTCAGGTGAATTTCCTCCGCTAGAGATATTCCTGCCGGTAAACCACCAGCAGCATGAATCTAACCCATCTGTTTTCCATGCTAGGAGGGCTGTAGGAGCATTCCCACTGCTGTACAAGCAGCATGACACCAGTGTGTTGCTTTTCTTTTTTCTTTTCCTTTAAAATCCCACCTAAAATGGAGGTGAGATGGTCCCAGCTCCTTCCCACAGAGCGGGAAGTGCAGTCCTGTGCTATGCGCGCGTCTGGTTTGTGCCTGCTAGATAGTACCACAAATGCAGAAGAAAATGTGCTCTTTGCGTTTGGAGATAGGGTATTGTTTTTCACTTATCCTGGCTTTATGTAGATGGTCTGGCACATTTATTTATTCATTTATTTGAGCAAATTAAAGCAAGCTAAGCACATTTGACCTCAGATGGTCCTGGTTTAAGTTAATTTGAGAGACAAAGCTCATAAAGTTCCAGTAAAACACATCAACAACTTCCCAGCATAGGTTGAAATGTGATTGCTGAAACATAACCTCCAAAACCAGATACAGCATGAAGACTCAGAGTCACAATAATCTGAAAAATATGGGAGAGCTCATCGATAGAGTTACTAAAGAGCGATATCTTTCATTCATGCCTACGTTTTGCAGCCGGTTGCTATTTCACACATAAGAAGTGCAACTATCAGATTTTGTGCATTAACATTCCTTTTCTAATCTGGCTTAGACATTTTATTTTAAAGCTGGTGATAACCTTGGGCCCCAGCCCAGCAAACACTTCTGTGATCGTGTTTCTTTACTCGCAGGAGTAATCTCACTGGAGTAAATGTTTGCAGGTTCGAGGCCTTGGTTATCACAGTCCATTATTTCTTTCCATTAAAAAGTAATCTGCGTGATTAAAATAAAACATGCCGTTCTTGACTCAGAAACCCACCCAAAGACAAAGTATGTTTATTAGACAGAGGGTCTGCACACTGTCATCCCTGAATTGCACTTCAATAAAAAAGATAATTAACAAGTATAAGGGAAGGCAGTCTAGTACACGATAGCACTGTATTTACAAGAGTTTAGTTTGGATCACTGGCTGATGGATTTACGGCTGGGCGTGGAGAGAAATAACTGCACTTTTCTGGAAAATCTGAAACACAGACTTTTTAAAACAAGGTTTCTTTTAACAGGCGAAGATCAAGAAGATCAAGAAGATCAAGAATTTCTTATTCTCACTGAAAAGACACAGCAATTTCCTTCAGCGGGTGGGCTTTCTGATGCGGTGCATTTCACCAGCAAGTTTTACTATACAAAGTGAGAAAAACTAACTGTCCTTTTGTCATTCATGCAGGTCACCGGCCCTTCCAGTGCCGCTACTGCCCGTACAGTGCCTCCCAGAAGGGGAACCTGAAGACCCACGTCCTCTGTGTCCATCGCATGCCTTTTGACAACAGCCAGTACCCGGACCGCAGGTTCAAGCGCTCTCGGGCAGACTCGGAAGCTCCAGGGAGCCTGGAGGATGTGGCAGGCCGTGCAGCAGGCCCAGCTGAGCAGGCTGAGGAGGGTGGCCATGGGCTGGAGTAGCACCCAGCCTGCCCTTCATGGCCCACTGCTGCACGGGGCTTCAGTGGGCACCAGGGCGGCAGTCGGCCGGCTGCGTTCCTGGTGGAAGAATTGCGTGCCAACTCCCAGAAGTGTACAGGATGCTCCCGACGTTTAAGTGTATATATACATATATATATGTACCCACAGTGCATATATATATATATTTACACACACGTGCACATATGCAGTCATATACCCACTCAATATGTATCTGCAGACACACACATTCTATATGTGGGTGTGTTTAAGTATATATATTACGCTCACCAAATACATTTCCAGCCCTTGAAAATGGCTGCTAAACTGTTACCTGGCAACAAGTACTTCCAAACAATGTAGGTGGGATAATAAAGTGATCTAAAAATGCAAGGAGGTTGTTAGTTATTTAAAAAAAAGCAGGGCAGTTTCAAACTTTGAAGCGGTCTTTGTCCAAAAATAATGCTCTTAACAGAAAAATGATACTGTCTAAAGGATTTAGCGTTGCCTTGAAGATTGAGGGGCTGTGTTTTCATTGTTGAAAACACCTTTATAATATGACACCAGCTGCTGTCATTTGCCTAGCATAGTAATGAGATGTGTTGGTAGACTGCCATGGTGCCAGTCTGACTGGAGCTGTCATTGCAGAGAAAATCAATTCAAGTGGTGTTGCAACTGCAGTATAGGAGAAACCCTAGACGGCCCACAAGCTGGGGTCAGTACTGACCTGTACTGGCAAGCATTGCGATATTACATTTTCTTTCTTTCTTTCATTTTTTTTTTTTTTTTAATACACAGCCAAATGAATCAATGCTTAAAGAAAAATAAAAAATCTGCATCCCAATGTGTGACTGCAGATTTGAAGTGTAATTCCATTTTTTTTTTTAAATCATCTTCAGTATTGAGGGAAATGCTTTTATGCTTTCTTTTCTTTGTTGATGAAGAAGTAAGTTGCTATAAAAGTAGAAGTACAACATATAGAAATATTGTTTAGTGAAACTAGTCAGCCTTATCTATAGAAGGTGCTGGTGAGAAACAGAATTTTATTACATAGATGGTTGATATTTTTCCTTTTTCTGTTCTTTTCATGTTGTTTTCTTTCAAATTTCTTTTAAATCCCTGTTTTTACACTTGAATGAAGGATTCCCCAGTTGTGCTTAATTTTCATGCATTAGTTTTTATAAGTGTTACAGACATTGTGCAGAAGTTTCTTCTGGAGCAAGCTCTTACAAAGTAGCTTGACTTAAGCTATGAATCCAAACATTCTGCTCTTTGTCTCTAATGAAGAAAAGTGTTTCAGCTGATATCTCTTTGTTTTTGTAAACAAATGTGTTCTATATTTTTGCAGATTTTAGCTTTTTTACTGATTGGATGCTCCAAATTTATTAAGTTCTTTGCCGCATAGCAAGCTTTTGAGAGTCTATAATGAACCACGTACTTTAAAAAAAATAAAAAAAATAACTAAAGGTTTATTCTGAAATTCTCTGAATGGCATAAAATTTTAGCCTTCTAATGTCCTTCCTTTGATAGAAGCAAAATTGGTGCTGTTTATTGTGATGGTAGAGAAGTATTAACTTCTTCTAAAACTAAATCATCCAGACTTAAAAAAAAAAAAGTCAATATTTCTTTGCAGGCTGGGAGCACAGAGTAAAACCCCAGGGCCTTAAAACTTCAGCTCTGCCTAAAGCAGTTTACAAAAAATACTAAACTGCAATCAATGTAAATAAAATTCTTAGCGCTACCCTGAGACTGGAAAAAAAAATCTCAGGCTAATAAGGAATACGGTTTGCATATGCTGTCGGAAAGGATGTCATCCAACTGAAGTTTCAGTTTAAATGAGGTCACTGTGTAACTTGGACCCATCTGGCACAGAGCAAGCTGCTTTTCTTGTTTTTCTAGTATAGTTCTCACTGCCTTACTTAAATCGAGTTGATAAACTTAATGCAACTGTTTCTATGATCCTAGATAAAGGATTGAAATGTTATTGAAACTTTCTGACTGTAGTAAGCTTTAGGATTTTAACTGCACTACTGTGTTTGGTGACTGTGTCAGTCGCTTGCTTTTGTGTGTTTGCGCCGCCTTCAGTATCTTAGCAAAAAAAAAAAAGAGAAAAAAAAGAAAAAAAAATACAAACGCCCCCCACATTCCATTTCTTGCACTTTTGGAGCTCTTTCAGTATTCTTTTGTGTCTTCTGAGCATTTTCAGATACGACAGGCAATAATTCTGTTTGTGACACTGGAAACATCTCCTGTTCCTTGTGATGTGTGTGTTGATTCCATTTGGTCGGGTGCTACTGTCCCTATTCTCCCCTCTGACATAGACCTTTTTTCCAGAACATTTGTAACTTGTAATACAAACAAGTGACAGCAGCAGTGATGCATTGTCAGTTTCTGAATATCATCATGCTTCTCATATCTAAACATGTCAAGTTTTTTCTCTGTAACTTCTGTAGTCTGTGATACTGGTCATAATACTGTCTACATTCCTACACAAAGAAAAATTTCTATCTTGGAGGAAATCTGAGATCAATAGAGTAGAGGATTTTGTTGCTATGCTTGTAACAATTAGAAAACTTTGTATTTAAAGTTTATTCTTGGTCATTATTTATTATTATAATACATCAGTTGACAGAACTTTATTCTGGTATAGAAGTATTAAAAGTTGTTTTTTCAGCAATGACTGTTTTCTTTCTGCTGTTAGAATAAAAATGTCTTTGAAGCAGTACAGTTTTATCCAGTGTTTTACGCAATAAAACCTCTACCTCTGAAAAAAAGTTTTCCTACTTGCTTATGTTTATTAGGAACAGCAAAAGCATTATTTTCTGCAGCTTTGTCAGATTAAAAAAAAAATTAATGTCAGTAAGTTCACAGTTGTTAGGCAATTACTGGAGTGTATTATGCTGGGTGTGTGTGCTCAGTCCACTTATTAATCTGAACAAAATCTATATACAGTATATACATATATATATATAATATATATTGTGCTTAATTAAAAGACTGTGGAAATCTGTTTTAGCATGTAGTAATAATTGTTTTATATACTACTACATATGTACTATAGAAGAAGTCTTGGGGTCTATCAAGCTTTGATTTGAAAGTGTTTGAAGTGTGTATCATACACTATGATGTATAAAGTCATGTTTTCACATTAAAAAAGTTGTTTGTATAGATCATATATTTGGCTTTAGAAAATTGTGAGGTTCATTGTTATGATGCTTGTTAAGAAAGCTGCCTATGCTTCAAAGAATTTCCAAGTGCGAGAACCCTCCTGTTCTCCTGCACAAATCTTTTTTCTTCTTGTGTATGGCTTGATTTACATATTTGAAAGCAATCAAATTAAAGGATTTTTAAATTAGAAGAAGAAGTAAAGATGATTAACATTGAAAACAAGATGCACCAAATCTGAGAAACTGCAGCTAATACAGGGAGAAGAGAAGAACAAGGCTCAGACAAAAAAACTGGGAAGCAAAACACACTGACAAAATGGAAATTTTAACAGTAGATGAAGCAAGTCCTACCCACAATGATAATGTTATGCTGCAACTTGAATGCTCTAGTAGAAAAATCTACAAAATTATCTACAACTGCTAAAATTCAAAGAGTAGGATCATGGAAATTCAGCTGTGCAGTTGCTTAGATCTGCAGTAGGAGTTGAAGTTAGCTGTGGATTTGTGGAGTGCGTGTGTGTGGGGATCGTTATGGAGCTGGTAACAAATTCTCTCATCTCCAGGGCAAATATCCCAGGGTCCCACCATCTGCAAAGAATTAAATCTGTGGTACACAGGATATTAGTCAAAATCTAAGAGGTTAACCAACAATTTTTATATTTTGCAAAGTTTGTCTTTCACTCCCTCTCTTAGTGGGAACCACTCTTCTTGAGCACAAATTAAGTGTGTAAAAATGGGCTCCAGGCTCTGAGTGGTGCAGATCCTTCCTGCTCCACGGAACACAGCGTTGACCACCAAAGTCTGAAAGAGAAATGCAGCTGTCTCACAAGAGTCTGTTTATGAAGGTTTTTCTTCAAAGACAGCTGGTTGGCAGCTGTCAGAATGCTGATGGTGGATACCTTGAGAAAGATCTTTCCACCCAAGGTCAGAAAGCTGCTCTCAGCTTTAAGATACTGTTTGTTGAAACTTTTATAAGGGCTATAAGCCCTCTGTCTACGGCAATTTGGAAACAGAATATTTCCCCTATCTGTTTAACATCTGTATTGCAACAGAGTATTGTGAAACTCTCACCTTGTGTGTTGTAAGCACGATCCGAGGGAAATTATTTGCAAGTATTGTGGTTTTCATTTCTGGATATCACCACTTGGCGTGATCCACCAACAGGGAATCGCGTTTCCATGGGGAAGGTTGGAGAAAAAGTACAACTGTGACATAATATTGAAAATGTGACCCAGCCTCAAGCCATAAGAGGACTGAGAGGAGTTCAGCATCTCTTCACCTATTGGTGCTGGCTTTTATTCTTTTTTAATTTTTTTATATTGAAAAGGTCTCAGTGAACAGGGAAATTGCAGGAAAAGAGGAAGAAGAAAATTTAAATGATCCCAGAGTGAACTGTTTTGCTGTTAATACAGAAATACAGAGCAAGACACATTTAATGGGCTCTATTTTTTATTATACTATGCTGAATAATTAAGTTTGAGGCTAAGTGTCACATAGATTTATCTTTTAATTAAAAAAGCATGGTTCACGCATATTTGAGTGGTAGTCCAAATAAATGCAATATAGAAATTTATGTTTGTTTATCTAGGTGTTAATTACCTAGAGATTGTTCTGGATTACTTCTTTTTATAAAGTGTCATAGGCTCATGTCACAAGTAATAAAGCTTAACAGTGGAACCTTATCAATTTGCTAACTATAACGCTAGTGTGACCTGGAGGAAAGGGAAAAAAAAACTTTGGAAAACGTTTTCTGTGTGTACCCCATTCAACACATAAAAACCACACGCTGAACAAAGCAATCATTTTTAAACTGTTCACGCAAGTAAAAGTACGAATATATCTTCAGTATTTTACAGCCTTTCATACATGTAATTATTTATATAACACACTATTATTTATGCCCATGTACTACATGTTGTGTAAAGACAGATATGGCCAGCAACAAAATGTAGTTTACCTGGTGGGCAAGCTATTCATTTATTGTATGAAGTAACACTTACGAAGACTGAACACTGTATTTAAAGCAAAGAAGCAGCAGATGCAATTTTCTTAATATTTTAAAGGTTTTACGGTGTTGCTAGCAACCGAGAGGATGGGAAATGCAAAGTAAGTCTAAAGGTAAAATATCATGTATTGCAATGGTGCAAAGAAAGGGGATGTATGTGGACACAAATTGTTCATCAGATTCTCTACCAGTCTGTTTTTTGTTTGTTTATGACCAGATTTTATGTCACTGCTCTGCAGAGCCATGTGGAAGAATGCAGAGAGCAGGCAGAGATCAAACTTCCTGGCATGGCCAAGCCAAGGGGCTTTCCATCACTGGAGTAAATCAAACACTGTCTACCTGATCACGTAGGGCAGCATCTGCCCCTACAGTGTGAAAGACTGAGAAATCTTTTCATTTTTCTCCTAGGTGCAAACATCCCCTTTGGGGGTTAGTTATTTATGCTTTTCTCAGAGTTCTGATGACTCACAGTAACGTCAGGTTCTGTTGAGTCGCAGACGTTTCTGATAAAATTAACTCGCTGATATTGTGAAGAAATCAATGAAAATTACACTCTGTGCTCAAAGTCATTAAT